AGCAGAATTAGAACACTTTAAACCACCATGACTTCAACTCTATTCAACTTCAGATACTAGATATAATACCCAATCACAAAACACGAATTTTTCAGGAATCTCTCTATCTATACTAAAACAACGTTCACTTTATCCATATGGACTTAACACATTATATACATAGTCAAGAGATACTTCTAAGAAGTCTATTTTCAGCCAATTTAAACTCTACAGCATCAAAACGCAGAGAGGAAAAAGAGGAAGCAAAATAAAAAATAATGCGAGATTTTTATCCACTTTGGATACACTTGCATTGAAAAAACAATTGAAATGTTTTTTTGACTCAGACTGTTTTCCCAAGAAACTTCTCAACTGGTTACACTCCTGTACTAATAAATTCCTTATCAAACTAAAAAATTCATTCAAGAAAGCTACGACGACATACAAATCATTAAAGACATGATTCTTGATTTTAGTCTTTTCAGACTCTCTAATAGTCTCACTCAACAACGCAAAATTTATTTTAAAGTCAATTTTCTGCATCCGCAGTTTGACAATATTCATTCTCAAGAATCATCAGAGATTGTAAAGATTACTTCCCCGCAGTTGAGCATATACCAATGATTGCATTTAAATATCAAAGGACCTTAAGCAACTTGCTTACTAACCCACCATGAAATAGATGAAACTGCAGAATGACATTGTAAGACACCAATTTACAGCAATTACGTAGATTCTAATCACCAGCACATAATTACTGGCAACCTGAATATCATACAAAACCATCAACTAAAAACCTAATGAGTTATGGTACAAAATTTAGACCAGTCAGAAACAATGACTACAAATTACTGTTACAACCAAGACTTTCGAAAACAACATCAACGAATTTTAGTTAAAGCAAGCTATCAACTGAATTTTCCCACAGATACCTTCTTAAAATGGAAAGCTAAAATTCTTCAACGCATATCCACAGAAATCAGTCACCTCAAATTTAAAAGTACACTGAACTGGTCGCAACTTACATCTGATATTAGTAAATTAAAACAGCTTTTTAACTATTACAAAAATAGATAAAGCAACTAATAACTTTAGCATTATATGAAAACAATTCTACACTGAGATTATTCATAAAGAACTTCTCAACGCAACTACTTATCAATCAGCCAACCTTACAGAAACATCTATAATAAACAGGATTAAACTTTTCATAAGAAACTCAATATTACTTCACATGCAAACTACAACAGATTTACTATCTTATGCGATTCCCAAATTCCATAAAACAACCATTAAAATTTAGATTTTTAGCTAATGGAACTAATAATTACAAGAAAAATATAGACTATTATTTTCAATTCAACTTAATAAAATCTGTAAATTTATTTTCAATGATTGTAACACTAATCATAACTATTGCTGGATCATTCATAATAACACTCCTGTCATTAATACCATTCATACATTAACATCCAAAAACATTAACTGCTATGATTTTGAAAACTTATATACCTCACTTCCTCTAGAAGAAATCTATACCAGTCTACTTGATCTACCAAAACTTTTCCCTAATATACTCAATATCATGACTCTTGACAAATGGAAAACCTACCTAAAATGCACACTTTTTCATAACTACATCAAGTTTCAAAATCAACTTTTTAAACAAGTCAGAGGATTGCCAATGGGCTACATTCCAGCACCTCGATCTGTAATATCTTTTTTTTGTCAAAGAATTTAACTTCCAAAAAAATCTACAACCACAAGAGTTAAATTACTACAAACACCACTACAGATTTATTGATGACCTTATTACAATTAATAATTTTGGTAAAATTGAAAACTCCGACATTTATCCGAATTGTCTTAAACTTAATAAAACTAATAATTCACAAAATAGCATAGACTTTCTAGATCTTCAAATCATTAACTACAAAAAAATTTCTTTTTGACAAAACAAGAAACTTCAATTTCAATACTAACAAATTAATAAATTGGAACTCCAACATATCCAAAAAATAATTAACAATACTATAATTAATCAAATACAACGAATTAAAACTATATGCACAGATACAATAGATTTACAACAACGCGAAATTTTGATCCTTATCAAAATTCTCAAAATAATCTAATTCCCTTTCAATTTATCAACCATTGCCTTAAAAGAGCAGGCGTTAAATACTCACTCTCAAATCATTTAACTGATAGGGATATGATAATTTATTCCTAAACCTGAGAAGGCGTTATAAGTTGGATGACTGTCAGTTGAAAGATTTGTATATAGTGTAATTACTCAATTGTATATATTGTAAAAAGCTAATTGTCTTCAGACATATACTGTTACTATACTGTTACTAAAAAAATGGGCCTATTTCCTGCCTTTAGACGTCTACTAGCTCTTGGATAGCGAAAATGCCTTTTTCCTTTCTTAAATTCTTAATCATTGCGACACGACAATTAGCCAGAAATTAATTAATTTCCATTCACTAGTATTTTTAAAAAATCTTAACAGACGGTCTCTCTCAGATAAGAACTCCACAAAATACATCCCTCAAGAATTCCAAGTCCCACCCACTACCATAAATTTCTTCACCCAGTCTTGCCGACTGATATAATTCAAAGCCCCTACTGCCGCTAAGAATTTTCGGACACCCTACACTTCTGAGTCAGACACGAAGAGAACACACTGCCAACTCCCCCACTAGAAAGAATGTAAGTTACTTAATACCTTTCTGGCCTTTATATCTTCATGTACATTCACTGATCTTATTTATATTATTTTCTATTTTATTTTTATATTATTTTATATTATTTTTATGTTCTCTTTGATTTGTTTTTGCAAAGTTTGCATATTTATCTTTTTTATAATCTTCTATGTTTATTTCAACTTTACTTTGATTTCGATTTCATAATGACAATTTCCAATGTTTAATTTCTACAAATAATATAGTACTCAAATACATAAAGATGATAGTGTCGGGGACGATTACTACTCGAGTTTTACAAGATTTCTCTACAGTAATTGATTTTTACTCCAAATTGAATTGACTAAAATGCTTCATGAGAATCAGTTTCTTTGAGTAACAACTATTCGCGGAAATATTTGGCCTGACTAGAATTGCCGGTTTGGCTTTAATTTATAACTCGAGTAAAGACGAAACACTTTTCATATTTACGTATTTTATCAATTATTGATCATTGAACGGGAGTTGGTTTGTTCCCCTTGAAAAAAGTCACTAATTTCCGATCAATGACAATAATTACATGTTTTAATTTTTACTTTTGCAATTGTAATATTATTCTTCGTGATGATTTAACTCCAGTCCCCGTAAAAACATTATTAACATTTTGCTTTCAAATTACTTCAAACATCTTTCAAATATAACTTACCAGTATGGATGCACACTTTTAAAATAATTCTACTTTAATTAAACTTAGGAGATAATATAATCAATTAATCAATACGGTTTAGGAAATAAATTATTATATATATATATATATATATTGAATTAATGAACTGAAATTCATTGAAACCAAAATTAATTTCCTAATACTTGCACAATAGCTGCAAAGTAAGATCATAATAATTTATTTACTAAAGAAATATTGATTATATTATCTCCTAATATAAATTTAGTAAAATGTATCTAAATGAAGTAACCCAGATGAAAATTTAATTCTGAAAGTACTTTTAAAGAAACTTGAATTTAAATCAAGAAAAACAGAAATTAAAACTTTTAATATGAATATTAATAAACCAAGCGATTATCGTCATTGATCAGAAATTGGTTGACTTTCTAACGAACCAACCCCCATTCAGTTAACAATAATTAATAAGTGTGAAGGTGTTTCGTCTTTTACTCAAGTAATAGTGATGATGCCAAATTGGCAATTTTAGTTAAGGCCAATATTGTAGTTGGGTTTTAATTTAAATAGTGAGATTAAAGAGATGAATTAAGATGAAGTAGTTCCATTAAGTTAATGGATTTTTAGAGATCTCGAGATATATTAGCCAAATTAAGTACAGTACTATAAAGAATTTATTTTGAATATAGCATTTCCGTTAATTTAATGGATTTTTTAGAGATCTCAAGTTAATATAGCCAAATTAAGTAGTAAAAATATCTTATTATATACTTGAGTAAAGTGTCCCCCTTACATATCTGTGATCTAGTGGAAGGACATTTAACTATACTACAATATTGGTGTTAACTAAATTTGCCAGTTTAGCATCATCATTATTACTTGAGTAAAAGACGAAACACCTTTGCATTTATTAATTACTGTTACCTGAACAGGGGTTGGTTTGTTCCCCCTTGAAAAGTCAACCAATTTTCGATCATTGACAATAATTACTTGGTTTATTAATTTTCATATTAAAAGTCTGAATTTCTATTTTTCATAATTTAAATTCAAGTTCCTTTAAAAGTATTTTCGGGATTAAATTTTCAAATATCTGGGTTACTTCATTTAGATACATTCTACTAAATTTATATTAGGAGATAATGTAATCAATATTTCTTTAGTAAATATATATACATGTATTACACTTAATCTTTTCTTTAAAGATAAAAATTAAATTTAAAAGCTTGCGCTATAGATATAGACATAATCATGCATTATGATGTGCATTATATGAATTATATAGTACATGATTTTATTTTCTTCGATAATTTATAACAGCTGATAAGTGATTTGTTATAGTTGACAAAATTTTCAGTAAATTATTATTTTCCTTAGTTTTTATTCATGAAGATGCAAATGCAGGTACTTTAATTCCCAACATTAAGTATTAGTAAAGTTATTGTAATTTTAAAACCTTAAGGCCAATGCAATACTTATCAAAACTATTCTGAAAAATTATTCATTATTCAAAACCATAAATTCAAAATCAGCCACTAAATAATAAAATTACATACTCATGATGTTCTATTTTATGATCTATTGGAAACAAAATATTTATATATCATACAAAAAAGAAACAATAAATAATTTAAAATAAAAATAATATATCAAACCCTTTGGCCAGGGAAAGCCACTTCAGGATTAATGCTTATACCAATTCTAGCAAGTGCCTGAGCAGCTGTTAATTTTCCTTTGCCAGTTCCTTCAAGGGCCAAATTCACAAGAACCTATGAATATTACAATGTAACATTATAAAGCATGAATAATACACACATACACACACATTTTTAATTAATAAAACTCTGAGTATATTTAGCAAATTGAAATGAAACGAAAATTATATACAGAAGCATTACTTAAAACATATTCATATATCGTCAGATCTATTTAAATATTTAGCAACATCTGATTCCATCTGACTATGTTAGTATTATCATTAAAAAACCACCAATAAATGATAATACAGTCAAAAGTCTTTAATCCGGATGTCCATAATCCGGAATGATGTATAAATCCGGACCTTACAGCTACAAACTTTCTGCGCATGCGTCAATGCATAATGCGTTGACGCATGCGCATTTAATGTATAACGGACGGTATAAGCTAAGCTAATTTTCTATTTCAGTTAACATTGCAGATTGCGTTGTTCCTTAATCTTCTAATTGGATCCGGCTTCTTATTTTTTGCAGACTGTTAGAGCAATTTTATAAAAGTAAGCTTGCTTTCAATTATGTCAAAAAGAATTTCCGATTCTGGAGCTTTAAAGGATCTACAAAACGAAAGCATGTTTCGATGTCCATCAAACAAAAAGTGGAATTGCTACAAAAAATGGATAAAGGCATATCCTTTGTTTCTTTAACCATTCTGAAAACTGTTTATCAATTTAACGCTGCTCTGTGTGTGTGGTTGGGTGGCGGGAACGTCGCGGCACGCAATGAACTGGAAGCTGATCTGTCAGCACTATCCTTATCTTCAGGGCAGATGGAGATGTTTTTATTTTATTCGGCTTCTAATTCCTTACTAAATGTAGTATTTCATCTCAATGCCTTTGATATGATTTAAATCAAATTCTTCGTCATTATAAATATCACACATCAAATAGTTTTCTGGTTGCAATTTTCTAATTTCGACTACGCGTAATGATGCTTTATGCATGCGCGCATTGAAAAATGTTATAAGTAAACAAATAATTTTAATTTTTTTTTTTGTAAATTTTATATCCTTGATCATAAATTACAGGTTCATATTTTTAATTTATAATTTCTGCATGTTATCTTATCAGATTTAAACTGATGATCTATAATTCGGAATCACTGAAGTCCCGACGAGTCCGGATTAAAGACTTTTGACTGTAATAAAAAATTATGTTGAATGCCAATTACTGTTATCTCAAATATACCTACCCAGAAAAAGAGAATTAAAAATATCACATAAAGTACTGTACATGTACAAAGACAAGCTTCATGATAACTGATTACATTTAACTTATAATTTATTAGACAGTACAAAGTCTCTAATCCGGATGTCCATTATCCGGACTTCAAAGCCACAAACTTACGCATGGGCATAATGTGTTTATATATGTGCGTTTGATGCGCACATCCGCTACACATGTGCATAAAGCCAGTAAAGAGTTTACCCATGCGCCCTTCCGATAGTGAAGAAAGTAACAGAGAACGTTATTGAAAACGAAAAAATTTCGATTGACAAGTTAGTCGGTATTCTCGACACAGCAATTACAGGACTTGAAACAGTGGAACTTTGTAACGAACTAGAAATTATGTCTGTTATAGAATTAAAGAGAAAATATTAGCACAAAAAATGAAGCAACTTAAACAACTTACATTGATAGAAATGTTTACTAAAGTACACAAATAAATATTAAGCTTTTTTTTTTTTTTTGGTTTTTTGTATTTTGATACCTTTTAGATCATGATTGCTCTTTATTTCATAAATTACGGTTTCATATTTTTTATTGTATTATTTCTGCATGCCATCTTACCAGATTTAAATTGATGATCTATAATCCGGAAAAACCCCTAATCCGGAATCGTCGAAGTCCCGATTAGTCCGGACTTTGTACTGTATTAACTAATTTTGTTTTTTTTTTAATGCTTGTAACATACTGTTCACATTTTTAGTTTCAGAGATTAACATCCTCCATTTTTAGAAGCTATATTAATTTAAAAAAAATCAATTTTCTTTTTACCTTGGCACCACCTTGTTGAACTACAGCACCTCTTAGATCTTGATGTTCACAAATAGCATTAAATACTCTAAAATGACACACAAAAATTATGTTTTATAGGAAATATAGATATGCCCATTACATATTCCGAGGATTATTCACATATAAAAATGAAAAGGGGAAAAAAAAGACAGAAAATGATGCAATTAAAAATAAATAAAACTATAATTTTATATCTAATCATGCATATTTATGTTAACACAATAATAAACATCCTGATTAACTACTCTTGTTATTATGCACTAATAATTGCTATTCTTGTAAGGTAAAATTAATTTACACTAGAATTCTGATAATGGTTAAACTGAATATTGGTAAAGTTTGCATTTTTATAACTTCCCCAACATTTTAGCTTTGTAGATGACATTCGATAACTTTATCTAAAACTACTCAATTATGCAGCACATAAAATTTCAAGAAAAAGTGTTTCATGTTTGACTTTAAAGTTGTGCATCCTAGAATAGTGATAGTACTCACGTTCAATGCATTATCAATGTACCACTGAAAGATACATTATTACGAAATGCACAGACGCAGTAAAATAGCTTTCCCTAAAGGTGGGCAGGGAGGACATAGAACGAGCTGGCAACAATACACCACAGGACATCACAACACGACATGAATAAATGGACAACATGACATGAATAGATGAGGTCTCCAGTAGCAGCCATATTGGGTGTGCCTTCTTACTGGTCTATTCCAATTGCATTGGTGGGTTTAGGGTTGCCAGAAAATGGCAATAAAGGCAGGGTTGCCATATTTGGCATAAAATCGACCATTTGGTGACAAATCTAGCAATATGGAGAGAAAACTATCTGAAACGAATTCTTACCAGTTTGGCCCAGAATGTGCTCGAAAGCAGCCTACAAGCTATATAAACCCTACCTGTTCGCAGAGTAGCAGTCAATTGTGAGTCTAGTGTTGAGTGTATGAAATTTATCGCGAGTTCGTACATTGAGAGTGTGCATCGTTGAGGCTATCTAGTGTATCATCGAGTGCATCTCAAACTGTAGCACAGAAAGTCTCGAGAATGTTCTTGAGTTCCGAGAACAACCGAACGAGTTGGGATCTGCACTGTAGTGCTTTGTTGTGAAGCTGCCTTCACTGTTATAGCCTGATGGCTGTGTTGCTAATTGTTTCAGTGTGTTCATCGTAGTTTTTTGACAACTGTAAACGTGTTTCTGGAGCTGTCCTAATGGTTAAATACATTGTGTTTAAAATTGTTATTATTACATCAAGTGTCATAGTTAATCATACCAAATCAAACAACCCGTACAAATGCAACAATACTAATTTTTTCATTATAAATAACCTTCATAATAATGAAAGAAAATAAAATGTGCACGAATAAAAACATTTTTCCAGGCAGCTGAAAACATTACATTTATACCCAAGGTAAATCTTATTTATGATAAATCTGGTTGATTCTGAGAAGTCTCTTTCCAGTATGCTACAGAAGGCTTACTTAAATGAATGTTTATTGTTTCTCAGTGAAAATGCATCCGGCATTTATATAAATCCCCAATGAACATGAATGAAATACAATCTTCATAATTAGAAAAGGACAACTTTCTCCAGAAAGATAGAAGTCTTTTGGAGATACTATGAATTTTAAATTCTTTTTTTAGTACAGAAGAAAAAAATTGACATCTGTAATTTCCTTACCTTTCTAACAGCTTGCAAAAATTTTAAACCCATAAATTTTGTTGGAATAATGAATCATTTTAGAAGAAAAGTTCCACTTCCAAATCCTCTTTATTGCATTGTGATATTACTTATTTATTTGCTTTGTATTTGCCATGTATTTTTTTTTAATATGGACTTGTTGATTTTGATGTTCTGAGAGTAGCAGCACTCGGAATGTAAAAGTAGTTTAAGTGAAATGTGAGGTTTCGTCTGACAGGTTTTCGTGAATGATGTTTCCTGAAATTTCTAGAAGCATGGGCTATATCAGACCGATGTCCACATCACACTTTAATACAGCTCAGAGATCTAGGAGTATTTGTCCGTTTGATTTTCAAACGAATTGCTATTGTTGTTACTGTGAGATTTAGTGTTAGCTGAATTGTGAGTTTACTCTGAATGTGATTTTGGCAACTGTCAATATTTCTCAAGCATTAAGAAGGAATTGTTTATATCTGCATTCTGCTTAAGCTTTTGAAGTTACTTATTGTTCTGTTTCTAATTATTTTTTCTGCTTTGTAAGGATTGATCATTCAGGGAGATATTCCTACTAAATGCAGCATGATGAAATGTTTTAGATGAAAGGCAAAATACATTTGGAAACAGCTCCTTGGTATATTAGCTAATAAAATTATTTTATAACAATTTAGTTCTAACTTCAATGAATGCATGATCATTTTCAAAGAAAAAAAAAATTACTCAATGTAGAATTATCACAATAAAAATTATTGAGAAAATTGCAGGGAAATTAAAAGGAAAAAATACTGCTATAGGAAATAAGCTAGGAAAATCTTTCTGAAACAAACTAGTAAAAAAAGATTTAAAATTTTAAATACAGCTCCTACTAAGCAATAACTAATACTAGCATAAACAAATACTAGATGTGTGAAATATATGTGAGATATTTGTATGTAAACATCATATTATTAGAATATTTAGAATTCTTCTTGCCATCACAAGGCATATTTTATTCAATATCTTTGAGATAAATAAAAATACTTTACATAAATTAAAAAGGAATATTACCATTTTACAATCCTCTTCCTAAACTACACATACATCCACTGTCATTTACTGAAAACATGATTTGTGTATTTTAAAGAAGATATTTCATTAACATGAGCACACTGGAAGCATTTACAAGAATCCTTTATTAAAAGAGACACTTTTTTTTTTTTTTCCATTTAAAAGACATAATACCTCTTTCCTAAATCATACTGATGTTTTTCTTATATTTTAAAATTTAATCAAATGTTTAAGCAATTAAATAAATTTAGCTTTTATGCTGCTCTGTTGGCATGGTACGAGCTAGTGGCCATAATCGTGGTTCCAGGTTTGATTCTACAGAAGGCACTGTACATGTGTAGTGTCTTAGCAGCATGCAGATATTTAATATGCTGTCGAGTCAAATCTCCTCAAATGTTTGGTAGTAGAAAAATATCTGATGTGAACATCACGTGAAATCCTTGTATGGCCTATTAAATTATACATGCTTTTTGCTGCATTTTATTTAACTAATTTTATTAGAGATATATGTTTATATCTCTAATGTTATATCTTTATCTAATCTTATAGATTTTATGTACAGTACAAATACATAAAAGCTAAAAACATCTTCATTAAAAATTGAAAAATACAGAGAAACATTAAACACTAAAAACAGTTATATATAGTTAAAAAAAGAATTTTTACAATTAAAATTAGTTTCTATCCAAAAACACCAGATGGCAGGAAGATAAATTTTTAGTGCACAAAACTGAAAGTTAACTTTTGGTCCCAATGGGCAAAAAGACACTGAAGTTAGTGCCTCATTAGGCTTAGCATTACTTAAACTGCTGATAATTCTACAACTATTGCACACAAATTAACTAAAGGCATGAAAAACCTTAACTGGAACATAAGAACAATATAATTCAATAACTTTTAAAGTAAAAAATGCACAATTTACCAACACATAAGAATAAAAAAACTGAGCTTCCTAAGTCGGGGAACAGAGTGGGTATACAGTCAAAAGTCGTTAGTTCGGACACCCATAATCCGGACCTCAAAGCTACAAACTTTCTGCGCATGCGTTGCGTTGACGCACGTGCATAGGCGTTTTGTTGGAAAATATGACTTATTGTAACCCTTTTACTGCATCATCTCTCCTCCTTGAAATGTTTATTAGGCTTAGTTCTTATTTTAATGTAATATAGTAGTTATTTCTACTTCTTTTTCTTACTGCCACTGTTTGTGTTGAGAACGGACTGTTTCAACCTAATCAAGATGCAAAAGCGAAATGTGATGTAACGTCATCTGAAAAGCCGAATCGTGCCGATAGCTGATTGGTTGCCGTGACATGACGTCATGCCTACTTCTGGTATAAGTATCTCGCGTCGCTCTGGCTCAGCCCTTCTAGTTCCTGCTTTCCTGGCACTTGGGTGTGCGGTTTCCAGCCCCTTTTGAAGGATGCGTGCAGTCCGGTGAATAAGTTCCTTGGTTCCTGTCCACAAGATGACTGTTCCAGAAGCTACAATGTGAGTGACTGGCGTGGGCGGCATCCATGTTCTTCATGAAGGGGGCATTTAAAATACGTTAGCGGCGATTCCTAAGCTGTGATTCAAACTAATGTTTAAGTGGAGTTAGAGCGGAGTTAGGCCGATTTAAGTGCTTTCAAGGAACTTAATTTAAATTTTCAGGTGCTTTTCTTGACCATTGATCATGGACTTATTGAATGTGTAGCCAATTTCATTTTAGGCCGCATAATTACTGTTTAGGACATTTTGTTTGTATTGAATGCCAGTGTTTTTGGAGACCAGGTAAAAAAATATTATTTGATGAATGATGGTTATATTATATTTTTCCTAAGACTCTGATATTGTTTAAATTTATTTTTTGTGTTTTTATTCTTTTTTATATTGTTAATAAATTGGTTAAGTTCAAAACCTTTTATTGTCTTCAATGTCTGCACAACACATATCTCAGGGAGCTTTATTGCTACTACTGCTAAATGTTTAATTTTTTAAACTTTAAACTTTGCTTTAGCATCATTTTGGTTATGGGCCCAGCCCCTGAGTTATTTTTAGTGCAGACTTTTGAAGTTTAAAGTTAATTTAGGACTTAAGAGATTGGGGGGCGGGTTTTTTGTTGAAAATTCAAATATGGCTACTGTTAGTGTTATGCATAATATTGCTAAACTTGATGCATGTAATTACTTTACATGGTCCAAAGATATGAAGTTTGTCTTAAATGAAAAAAATGCATGGCTTTTGGTCAAAGGTATTGAAAAATGTCCTGATTTAAATGATGTTAAGGGTATTACAAAAGAAATTATTGCCGACTATCAAAATAGAAGTCGATTGGCAT